TGCGTCTCCTGCGCATTATTTCTAGTTTCTTGTCCTGACAAAATGCCAAATCGTGCGCTGTACAGATCAATTCCCTTGAGCTCTCTCTGGGTGGAATTCTTCTGCTTCTTTGAAAGGAAATATAGGGGAAATTTCTCGATCATCCAGCACGTCCGAAAAACCAAATCAAAACTAAAACAAAGCTTGGGATTCCTGCAAACGAAAAACCTGTTCGGACTCTGGTGGATGCCACAAAAAATGTGAAACTCTCATGCGCAGATGGATTCTGACCCATTTGGCCAGAAAAGGTGCAAACAAACCAACCCTCACCACCTTCTGGGACGAGCTCTCTCAGCATGATCATTTTGGAGCCTAGGTGAAGTGCTCCCAGCTCCCTCGTTCGGATTGTCCATCTCGTCGTCCTCGGCCGGCACCAGTGATCGGCCACTGGCTCATTTTCATCGATGGCTGCGATGGAGCTGTTCACAGAGCGTATCCCAGTTGCTGGGTCAAAGCCGCTTGCTGCTGCATCACCAGAGTGGATGCATTCACCAGAGACGAGGCCCATTTCCTGAGAATGACGACTCAGGACTGACTTGAGGCGGCTTCGGCTGTGGACTTGTTCTTCAGCTTCTCTGCATGGCCCTGGATCTCTGCCCTGGCTGCCGTGCACATCGTCGGCTGCTGCTGTCTGGCCTCCTTGGAGGTCGGCCTTTGGCTTTCTGAGCTTCACATTGCAGGCACTTCGTCCATGTTCCATACTGGTTGGTGCCCTTCACCATGAAATCCTCCGGGTGTGGGCATGTGGCCTGCACCGTCCGTGGGCACTCTACACTTTGCATTCTACACTTTGCACTCTACACTCTGCCACACTTTACACTTTACACTTTTCACTTTACACTCCTCACTTTACACTCCATACTCCACACTTTACACTCCACACTCCACACTCTACACTTTACACTCTACACTTTACACTCTACACTTTACACTCCACGCTCTACACTTTACACTCCGCACTCCACACCTTACACCTCACACTCCGCACTTTACACTCCACACTTTACACTCCGCACTCTCCACTTTACACTTCACACTCCACACTTTGCACTCCACCCTCTTCCGCATTCCACAGTCCACTGTGCACTGGTACGGTAACAGGGGAAAAATATAGACTGTTCAATTAACTTGTTTCACAAAAGTGTTCTACATGACTGCATTCGGGTTCGTGGGCTGCATCTTGCTTCGATCTTGTGGATGAAGATGGGTCAACATGGCCCAACATAAGCCCCAAAATGCGCGGAAGCTGGCCCAACATAGCCCCCAGAATCCCCCAGATGGCCCAACATGGACCACAAGCTGGGCCCGCATAGCCCCACGATGGGCCAACATAGCTCCAAGATGGGCCAACATAACATAGCTCGAAGACGGGCCAACATAGCCCCTAAGATGGCTCCAAGCTGGGGTCGAAGAGGTGCCAACATAGCCGCAAGCTGGGCCAACCTCGCCCCAAGATGCGCCTACAGACTTTATGATCCTTTACCCTCAAATGGGCCCCCGGGGCCGGGAAAAAAGATGAACGAATTATAAGATGCTTTTTGAAGTTGATTTTGGGTCATTTTTGAGCAGTCTGTTGACATTTTTTTTTTGCTGCGCCCGGGAAGCAAAAACATCGTAAAATACAATGTTTTTGTCTTTCTCGCATATAGAAACTACATCTTGTAATATGGTGAAAACTGCGTAAATACCAGTGTTTTTGCTAGGCACGGGCACAAAAACATGATACATACCGTGATTTTTGCTACTAAAGGTTAAAAAACAGTAAATGCCGTGGTTTTGGGTTTCCGAGGCGCAAAAAACATCCGTATTTAATTTTTTTTGCATTTTTTTGCTCCGAGAATGTCACAAAATGCAAAATGTGTGACGATTTTTAGGGGCACAAAAATGCGACAATAAGATATGTTGCAAGTACAAGTACGAGATCCCCCTTATAATTAAGTGTCTGACCCGGGTGGCGCCAATATATAAGAACCCCGCATTTTTCCATTATAAAATGACAAATGCACCACACCAAAGTTTACAAAATGGCAATTGCAGGACCTACAGCAATATATGGCAATGGATTTAGCAAAGAATAACGGCTTATAAAATGAGACTCCCAGTTACCAAAATCAGAATGAAAATCTCTTGCGGCGTCCCGGGATCCTGACCTAACTTTTTGCACAGGATTCGAAACTCATTTTATAAAGCGGGAGTGGAAATTCTACTAACTTGGTGTCCCCGAGAAGGGAGTCATTTTATAAGGCACCTCCAGGGCATCTTATAAGAACAAAACCTGTGCAAACCTGATTTTTCCGGGTATGTTTTTCTCAGTTTGTGCTGGTAAAACCTGTAATTTTCATAAGAAATTGTTTATATTGCAAAGATTTGCAAAGTAAGTGTACCTTAAATAATGGATAATCAATAAAAGCGAATATGAATCTTGCACACATGCAATAAGCTTTAGAAACATTATAAAATGGCAAATAGTGTCTCAAGGTCACAGCTGCAAACAATAAGCAGAATATAAGAAACCAAAAAACTTACTACCCTCACCAGTTTGGGCCTTATGAATGCCAAATGCAAGTCATACTGTCTTTTATATAACCCTGGGCGGCCTGCCTGATATAAAATGATAATCATACTGTGGTAAGAATGCTAGATATAACATTATTGTCATTTTATAATTTCATAATTCTACAATATACTACATATGACTACTTTATACATTTATATGCATCGTTGTGCACACCTATATACTCTTATATTATCTATCATATTGGAAACTGTCGCAATATATTGGAATATAAACTACGACATAATGGGCAACCATGGGCAAACATTGCGTTATGTTCTCTTACCATCTCTTACCACTTTATATTTTTGTATTGTTTTGTTATTTTGTTCAGAAAAATTGGGATCTCAATATGTCTCAATATGTCTCAATAATTTTGACGTGCTTTGCATTTTGAACACTTTTGAACAATTTAGATATGTTATTAATTGTTATTATATGTGTATACAATTGTCTTCGCTTTTTAACCTATTTTATACCATTTTACACCAAGACGTTTTAGATGTTTTTTGCATGAGTAGGTTTGGTATAGAAAGACAATGCTTGATATTGTTTGACATCAGGTCTGTACTTCTTTTTTGATCGTTGAATTTGAGTAATTTCAGCATATTTTCAAATTCATTTTTCACTGTGTACGATGTTTTCGTATGTTTCAATATGTTTCAATAGTCTTCAATAATTTTCAATATTTCTCAATATGTCTCAATAATATCCTGGAGATTCCAGTGTAGCACTTTTATCTGGCAAAAGTTTCAATGGATATGAGCACTTTTTGGGGTTCAAACCCATTTTACACCTTTGGATTAATTAAACCCTCGGAGAAATCCACAAAGTTAGCCCACACTCAAGCTGGTGGAGGCCAATCATGGAAGCGAGTTTTGCATCTAACTTACCATCTATCTCCTAATTTATGTTCCCTGAGGAGGATGCACATTGGGACCAAGCTCAAAAGAATTGATTTTACAATATTTTACACATCTTGTGTGTGTTTTGACATTTTTTGACATCTTGGGCTTCGAGTACCTTGCATTCAAATGATCTTGAACCACAAAGAAGTTGTCAGGGCCGCAGCGAGTGTCATGTTTTTTCTGCTCGCCCTCCCCCCCTCCCCAGTCTATAGATTTGATGGCCGCAAACTCAAACATTATAGAATGCTAGATCACAATGCTAAAACCTATGAAAATATTATCAAAGTTTGATAGTTTTGTTTTTCAAATTTAATTTAATAGTTTCTTATAAAATGAGTGTTCGCCACTCCATCACAAGATTTACCAAACCATCATTTTATAAGGCGTTGTTCTCCAGGTGTTTATTAAATGACAAATCGATACAAATCGATACTATAACTATACATGACAGGCTTAAAAGGAACCATGATTTTATAACGCAAAAATGTAGTAAACAAAATAAAATATACTGACCCCGCCCCCACTTTTCCTCCTGAGGAGATAACCCATGTTAGTCATTTTATAGCCCCAGAAAAAAGTGGTCGTGTATAAAATGATGGTTTTTTAGGGCACCCGTTATAAAAAACCAATTTTATAAGCCATGTTAAAAAAACAAACCGGGGGACGGGACCCTATAAAAATTGGGTCCCGCCCCCCGGGTGGCGGGATTTAATAAGAGAAATTAAAGGGGGATAGTACAAGTACAAGTACAACAAGAACAAGAAGAACAAGAAGCACAAGAAGAACAAGAAGCACAAAAAGAACAAGAACAAGAACAACAACAACCACAACAACAACAACAACAACAAGAAGCACAAGCAGCACAAACATGCGACAAAACATGTGTTACAAGCTGCGGTATGAAAAGCACATCATACTGTGCTCTGCACCTGCGCGCAAAACAACACCAACACTCACACTACTATACATAAACCTTATGGCATCGGCGGTGTGCAAGTCCCTCTCTCTCTCTCTCTGTATATATGTGTGTGTGTGCGTGTTGTAGATAAAATATACATAATTTATACACACACAAATATATATATATATATAAGATGTCAAAGTAACCGAGGGCCGAGGTGTCAGTTGTGAGGAACAATTCTAGGAAATTGCAAAATGGCTGGGCCAAAGCCTTTATCAGAGCCAACCCTGCTAGCCTGCTAGCATTCCTGGTTTACAAGTTTTCGCAATGTATGAATGATGGAATGTGGTGGAACGCTAGACAACCAACATCAACCAGCATGAGCTTTTTAAAAGGCCATGTCATGATGAACTATTGGAAACCCGGTGGAAACATGTGGAACGTCTATACTGCCCTGCACGCTCTGCCTTTGTTACCCGGGGTTGGCCGTGTGATTTCGTGCGCACATTGCCCCGCTGGGAGTGAAACTTCGGCAAATGAGAGCTGAAACTTGTTGAACATCGTTTCTGAGCAGAAAAATCAAACAAATGATTCACACAGCCTGTCCCAGCAAACATACAACCATGTTTTTTTCCTTGTTTTTTCAGCAGGAACTGCCTTCAGTCGTGGATCAGCTGGTTTGATTCAGATCAGTGCCTTCACGGCACCACAAGGTTATACGACCAGCATTATTTGCCAAATGGCATGCTGACGACAGCACAATCGAGCCGCTCATGAGTCAATGTGAGTCAAACGGACTCATGACTCAAGACTAAAGCGCTTGCAAAATCTTGCGAAGTAAGCTCAAGGCACTCGATAGACTCTGAATGAGCCTGTCCCTTTTGGATCCATAACATGCACTGGCTCAGGGCACTCAACGATCGCTTTCATCTTTCACAACTAATCGGCCTCGAGATGTCAAAAACGCTCAAAAAAGGCGGCACAAACCCTGGAAATCTTTCACAAACCCTGGAAATCGCTCAAAAGAAACATTTTACTTGTAACGATCTAGACTTTTAGAATCTTTGAATTTTTTTAGGACCAACTCCCATGGAATCAACTGCGCCCTTACACGTATGAATTGAGAACAGCACCTTTTCCAGTTGCTGCGACCAGCCCTGCCCGAAGCCTCACTGAATGGACAGCTTCAACAACTGCCACTGCCAGCGCAAATGCTCTGCCTAAATCCTGGTTATTTTAATCTACTTGATATATTTGCATTCTCTTACTTTATGATCTTTAATTATGTATCTTTATGTCATCTGATCTTATGTCTCTGAAAACTCAACCTTCCAATTTCTGTCCAGCGGGATGCAATCAATGCTTGGAATGACAGCACAGCACACGATGATCACATGTAATCACGACAAAACGAGAAAAGTACCTCAGAGAAATGCATCTATTGACAGTGAACAAAAAATAGAAAATTGACCCTCTGCGTACGGCGTCCCGTCATGTTAAGACTGCTTGATGCGACGAAAAATATCGAATGACTCTCAAGACTCAAAAAGGGAACAGCACCAAATCAAAGCCAAGAAACCATACCGTCTTCTTGCGAGATTTGGGCGAATCCTGCCAAGATCGTGTTACCTTTTCCCAACTCACTCTCTATCACTCTCTCACTTTTTATAAAACTATGTCAGAGATGAGATCACAGCCTCATTCTTGTCTTATTGTCATGTATTGGCCCCGTTATGCTGGCCCTTAACTGGCCCTGAACGGCAAACAAACAAAACAAAGAACTGATTGTCTACCAAAGTATTGATAGGCGACGAATGCTCTGAATATCACTCAATATCTCTGCAATTCTGCGTGCTGAAAAAACTCCACAAGCGCGTGCTTGCGGCTTGTGGAACATGGCTGACAACATGTGTGACAATAGTCACTATCCGCCTCTCCAGCAACTGGTTCTACTTCGTCCTTGCCAAGCACGAACCAGTATCAACCAAAGCAAGCCCTTGTTGGAACGAGTGCCGCCAACCCAGCTTTGCTGAATGATTTGTGACTGTTTGCTGTGAAGTCGAATCTTCAAGGGATGAACAAATCAAAAAAAAGGCTGAGGCATTGCACTTCTGTGCGCAACATGGACTAGTCATGCACCTGTGACCAGTCCTCGTCTGCCTCCTGGTCTCCTGCTCGGTTTGGTCTTAAAGGGATGGCAGGATACGGCAGAACAGTCCCGCAACAAATCAGCGGCCTAGCGCGCTTATTACGAAAAAATGCGACGGAAAACAGTTTGGGGGCGGCAAGCAAGCAAACACTTAACGCGCGATTAAAGCCACCGGCAGTACCAAACAATGTGTGCCACAATGGCATTTTCACTATCTCAGTCTGGGCCCACGAACGTGCATCGCCATTAAAAAAACTTGAAAGGGGGAACGCGAAAGGTAGGTGATCAAGAAGGGGAAACAAAACCTCTCTGTGTAAAAACAGGTTGCGTGTAAAAGTGTGTTATGCGCACAAGTTTCTGTGTGCAATTCGTCTTCCGTGTAAAGGCATCTGTGTATAAAAACGTCTGTATGTAAAAACATTTTGTGCGTTAAACCGTCTGTGCGTAAGACTTCTGTACGGAAAACTTTCTGTGTAAAAACCATCTGTCTGTAATAATTGCTGTGGATTTAAACAAATCTGTCCGTAAAGGCTTCTGTGCGGAAGAGTTTCTTCTGTGTAAAAACAGTTCTGGGTAAAGTTTCTGCGTGCAAATTTTCGGTGTGTTTTTTTTGGCGCAGTCTGTGTGTACAATTTTCTCAGTGTCTATTTCTTTCTGTGCAAAAAATATGTCTAAAACTATTGTTCTGTGCAAAGGCTTCTCTGTGGGAAGGGTTCTGTGTGTAAAACTGCCTACGTGCCTTTGTCTATGCCCGCAAAAGCATCTTCACACACAGCATCGGTATGTAAAAACTTCCTTCTTTGTAGAAAAAACCTCTGTGTGTAAAGGTGTCTGTGTACAAAAATTTCTCTGTGCACAAACCTCTCTGTGTATGAATACCTGCGCGTTAAAGCTGCTCTGTGTAAAGGCTTCTGTGCGTAACGTCGTCTGGTTGTAGATATGTATTGGTGCAAGATGCCTCACCAAAAAAAATCCAAGTTCAAATGCTTGATGTCGTTTCCGTTGTTGCTGATGGCGATGATGCCCGCAGGGCCCGGCAAGGCGTCATTTTGGTTCTTAAATGTCTTAAATCAATTTTTGAAAGCCTTCGGAACAAATTACTTTCATCGAGCGAGTAAGTACCGCCAAACGACACTTTTTTGACATATTTTCTGACATCCCATCTGGCATTCGCATTTTATCTCATACATACATTTTCTGAATTTCTTTGTGGCGTTCTATCGGGTATATCTTCGGAGATCCTTGGTAGTTGAGGTCCGGCGGGCAACACTCTGATCCGGTGCGCGGGGTGGAGGTCCGGCGGGGATTACTCCGATCCAGAGGTTGCTGTTCGGGTCCGGCAGGGGACACTGCGATCTAGAGCTTGCAGATGTTGTTGTTGCTGTCGTTGTTGTTGTGGTTGTGGTTGTGGTTGTTCTTGTTGCTGTCGCTGTTGCTGTCGCGGTTGCTGTCGCGGTTGTTGTTGCTGTTGCTGTTGCTGTTGCTGCTGCTGCTGCTGCTGGTGGTATTGTTGTTGTTGTTGTTGTTGTTTCTGGTGCTGTTGTCGCTGGTGTTGGTGTTGTTCTTGTTATTGTTCTGGTTGTTGTTGCTGCTATTGTTGCTGTTGTTGCTGTCGTTGCTTTTGTTGCTGTTGTTGCTGTCATTGCGGTTGCTGCTGTTGTTGTTGTTGCTGTTGTTGTTGTTGTTGTTGCTGTTTTTGTTGTTGTTGTCCTTGTTGTTGCTGTTGCTGTTGCTGTTGTTGTTGTTGTTGTTGTTGTTGTTGGTTGTTGGTTGTTGTTGTTGTTGTCCTTGTTGCTGTTGTTGTTGTTGTTGGTGGTGGTGGTGGTGGTTGTGGTGTTGGTGGTGGTGTTGGTGTTGGTGTTGGTGTTGGTGTTGTTGGGGTTGTTGGGGTTGCTGGGGTTGCTGGGGTTGTTGGGGTGGTTGGGGTGGTTGGGGTTGTTGGGTTTTTTCGGGTTGTTGGGGTTGTTGGTGTTGTTGGTGTTGTTGTTGTTGTTGGTGTTGTTGTTGTTGTTGTCGGTGTTGTCGGTGCTGTTGGTGCTGTTGGTGCTGTTGGTGCTGTTGGTGCAGTTGGTGTTGTTGGTGGTGTTGGTGGTGTTGGTGGTGTTGGTGGTGTTGGTGTTGTTGTTGTTGTTGTCCTTGTTGTCGTTGTTGTCGTTGTTGCTGTTGTTGTTGGTGGTGGTGGTGGTGGTGGTGTTGGTGTTGGTGTTGTTGGGGTTGTTGGGGTTGCTGGGGTTGTTGGGGTGGTTGGGGTTGTTGGGGTTGTTGGGTTTTTCGGGTTGTTGGGGTTGTTGGGGTTGTTGGTGTTGTTGGTGTTGTTGTTGTTGTTGTCGGTGCTGTTGGTGCTGTTGGTGCAGTTGGTGTTGTTGGTGGTGTTGGTGGTGTTGGTGGTGTTGTTGTTGTTGTTGCTGTTGTTGTTGTTGTTGCTGCTGCCCCTGAAGCTTTTTTCTCAGTCCTGTAGTGAGGGGCCGAAAATTGTCAAATAGCTGGTGTTTTTGCGCGTTTTTGCAAGACTCGGGGCAAACAACACCGTAAATACCAATGTTTTTGGCGGGTCGGAAGCCCAAAACCACGGTATTTACGATGATGTTTTGCCTCTGGTAGCAAAAGTCACGGTATTTATATCTTTTTTTGCCAGCACCTAGCAAAAGCACTGGTATGTTTTTTATTTACGCAGGTTTCACCATGTTGCAAGATGTAGTTTCTATATCCGAAAAGGACAAAAAACTGTAAATTCAATGTTTTGGGTCTGCTCTTAGGGTGCGTGGGGGACGCAGAGGGGGTGGGGGGGGGTACTGGAATGACTGGCAGTCTGTGAATCATCAGGTAACGGGGCTGGCCGCCCTCCCCTTTACTTCGAAAGCAGAACTCAAGGTAGCCCCACTGGATCTACCTTTCGTGATTTCAATGATATACCCATATTCAGCCCGGCTCCTTCTCCAAAGCTCGTCAGGTAGCCACGCAAGCGGTTCACCCCCATGGACGCGTAGAAATGCTCTGTGACTGATTCCACCATCGTTCCACCTCACAAGCTGCTTCTGCGAACCCAAAGATGGTGGAAGACAGTCGAACAATATACAACCACAGTCAGGGATCCGTGTGGATATAGTGACTCCAGTGTACTGCGTGTTGTGTGTATTGTGTGTTGTTTGTTTGCAGGTTCTGGCTCAACAACGTGCACGCGGCTCTTAAATGGATTTGAATGGACCATGCAGAATCATTTCCGCAATATCATTGATCTTTAAAAAGCAAATCCATGTAAGTTTATCAGATCGTGAGCCTTTGGACTATATAGAGACCTTCGGGAAAAATAAAAACGTATGACACGGTGGGAAAGGATTTGAACACTTTTAGTCCCAACAAAATCAAATCCCAAAAGCCTTAAGACATTGCTTAAATTTGAAACGCGCAACTGTGCAAACTTCTCGCTGGCGGCTTCTCCTTCAAGAAATGGCTGTGAAACCATTGCAAGAATTCTTCGAACTCTACGCAGCCGCTTCCTTAACACAGCTCAAACATGCTCAAACAATCTCAAGCACATATCAAAAATCAGGAAGTCAAGAGTTCACGAACTTGAAACAGACCCCCCTCCTTGAAGACACTTGTTCAATCTGGTGCATCCTGTTCAAAAACCTGTTCGATTACAATGAGGACATCAGCTTGACAGCTCTGCGGGTTCTGCGTTGTGTTTTTTTCCTGGGCTCCATCTTTGTCCACGATATTCCAAAGAGCACGAAGATGATTTTCTTGAAGCAACCTGGCACGATTCTTGCTTTGCCATCGTGGCGAACTGGAGGGCCAAACTTATAAACTTAACAAACAAGTATATTATGTATGACAAGTGAAACCCAATGTGCAACATGTTGAACATATAACATATGAATATGTGTATATAATATCACTACCCTTTTAAGGGGGGGCGTGTACCCAAATTGCAAGACACAATTTAAACTTTTTTGAGGGAGGGGGGCATGGTAAATGTCAGCAAGCACTTTTTTTCTAACTTCGTTCTATTTGCAAATTTTCATTTTAGTAGGTCCCCTCATTCTTTACGGGATTTCATTTATTTTCAAAAAAACGCAGAGGGGCGTTCAAAATGTAAGATTGCAATTTTTTAAGAAAGGAAAGAACAGGAAAAACAACATGTAAAATTATAGTGCTCCACATGTAACGTAGAGGTATAGAAGGTATATTACTCCTTTCAAATTACTGGAGAATCCTTGAACTTCAAAAACTGTAAAATGAGATGTTGAAGGTCTTCAAATTTACCTCCGGCCTATGGAAAAACAATAGAATACATATAAAGATCTCAAATGGACCTCAAATGGACATCAAATAAACCTTCATGGGGTCCCCATGGTAAGCCCCCCTTATGTACCTACATGAACGAACTTAAACACCCTTCGAACTTAAACACCCTTCTGCCACGGTTCCTATCTAGCCCCCCTTATGACCCCCCAACCATAATATAATAACAATGTAGACATGTGTCATGTTGATCCTATCTTATCTTTACCCTCTATTTTTGTGCAGATTCTGCAAGGAACTATGGACCTTAGATGTAGAATGGTTACGTTATCTGATCTGTGGCTTTACAATCTATTTTGAGCTGTTTCTGCAAGGAAATATGGACCTTAGGTCTGTGATGGTTGCATGATTTTATCTTTGGCTTTACCATCTATTTTGAGCAGTTTCTGAAAGGAAATACGGACTTTAGGTGTAGGTTGACTACAAACATCTGCAAACTTCTTGGGGACAGGTTTCGGACAATGAGCAATTGTTACCTCCCACCCCTTTCCGTAGAGTACGGGGGGGAAACGCGGGGTGACGTATCTATTACGGAGATCGGTTTTTGACGTGGGGGGGGTCTAACATACATACAGCCTTCCCCATTGGGAAATTACTTTACTTCGTGTGATCCCCACCATGACATTTATACATTTTCTTACTGGCAAATCTTCTGGCATTCTATCTGGCAAATCTTCTGGCATATCTTCTGGCATTCTATCTGACATTGCATCTGGCATATTTTCTGGCATTCTATCTGGCATATCTTCTGGCATATATTATGACATATCTTCTGGCATTCTATCTTGCATTCTATCTAGCATATCTTCCGGCATATGTTCTGGCATATCTTCTGGCATTCTATCTGGTATATCTTCTGGCATTCTATCTGGCATATCTTCTGGCATATTATCTGGCAAATCTTCTGGCATTCTATCTTCTAACTTTCTTCTGCACATTCTTTGTCCCATATCTTCCTACATGAGGTCCGGCAGGGAACACTTGGCGTGGATACTCGCGGTTGAGGTCCGGCAGGGAACACTGGGCGTGGATGGTCGCGGTTGAGGTCCGGCAGGGAACACTGGGCGTGGATGGTCGTGGTTCAGGTCCGGCAGGGAACACTGGGCCCGGATACTCGCGGTTGAGGTCCGGCAGGGAACACTGGGCGTGGATGGTCGTGGTTGAGGTCCGGCAGGGCACACTGGGCGTGGATGGTCGTGGTTGAGGTCCGACAGAGAACACTGTGGATCGCGGGTCGCAGTTGGACGAGGAGGACGACGAGGAGGACGACGAGGAGGACGACGAGGAGGACGACGAGGAGGAGGAGAGGAGATGAGGAGAGGAGAGGAGGAGCAGGCAACTGACATAAAATCTGACAACCCTCACCTGGCAGGTGGGGAAAAATATGAAGGGGTCAAAACTGTTGCTTACATTTTTTTGCACGTCGCCCATGCTTACACCCCACGAAAAGGGTGGTGACGATATAACTTTGATATATCTTTATAATCACCTTTTGAGGAGGGGGTACGTACCCAAAATGTAAGCTACATTTTTCAAGGTGTTTTGGAGGGGGGCCTTGAAAATGTCAGCTTACATTTTGAAGGTACTTTGAAGACCCTCCCCACAAAAACGACGTTCAGCAACCAATTTTATATTTAAGGGGGGGTCCCAAGAAATGTCGCTTACATTTTGGTATGGTACACGCACACACACACAAGCACTGCAGACTGAATGGAATGTGGTACTAAACCATACTGCGTAGAGATGTTGCCCTCCCTTTAATGGTTCCTGGGCTTCCGCCCCTATAATCCTGAGAAGGGAGGAACGAAAGCCAGGAAAGGGAGGAGGAGGTGCAGAATGGGGCGAGGGCAAAAGAAAGTAGAGAAAATGTTGAAAGTTGAAGAGGATCCGCAAGCTGAGACCCATTGACAAGACCCATGGCCGACCATCCTGCGATATGACATGTTTCAGATTGAACCGCACGCAAACTGCCTACTCTGGTTCCATTTAGGCGGACTCGCCCTTCAGTGGGCTCTGCAGCACATCGATCAGTCCAGAAAAGGGATGAAAAGGGCGTCTATCGGTGGTGCTCCTGCTTGTTTGTTTCCAGCGTAAATTCACATAGCAATCCTTTGCTCCTCGCTTCGCAGGGGGGAAAGGTTTTTTAAAGGACTCGGAACCGTGACAAGAACTCTTGGAAGGGGAAGGCCAGACTATTGCGTCTTGTGGGGCGTTTGGGAAGGGGGGGGTATTTAAAATGAATTGGAACTGAGACAAGAACTCTTCGAAAGGGCGCGATCATAGCTTCTGAGATAAGAATGTTTAGTTTCGGAAACATAGTTGCTGAATGTTGCTGAACCGTTAATCTCTGGTTTCTGAATTTTGAATTGTGTAACCATATAGTTTCTGATTGTTTCTGAGACGTTGATAATTCTTAGTTTCTGAGAGGTACCAGTAGTTTCTGAATCATAAATCGTTATTTTCTGAACCGTGTAATCATAATTTCTGAGACGTGACTTTGTAGTTTCTGAGTTGTCTGAAACATGAATGCAGTAGTGTATGCCGTACATGAATCATACACGCTAGAAACAATTAGACCACCTAATGTGTGCTGGATGCCAGAAAACAAATCCAGCACTCCATCAACATTTGCACCGTCACCACCTCCGCTTTCGGTCTGAAACTTCATGGCACCCTCAATAATCGATGCCATTTTATGCGGGCTTTGCTATGTCTGAACAAAGTCGAAATCAAACCGGCAACCATCATGAACCGCCACAGCGCCACCCGCCGCCCTTGCAAATCCTTGCTGCAGTTGACGGCCAAGTGACGCATCTGCACGGCAAAGGGTGTGTCGCGATGTCAGCGCTTTGACCACTTTGCGGAAGTCAAAAAAAGTCAAGTAGCCCCTCTTTTCAGTGTCAAAGCGCAAAAACCTAGAGATAAAACCGGCAAGCAAGGCAACGCTCGAACGAAACATTCGCGGTGGACTATTGATGCAACATTGGTGCTGCTGTAGCGGGTATATGCAAGTGATATGCGCGTGTCATCTGGCTCGATTGCATCTTGGGAACTCTCTTCGAACCTCAGGTCAAGGTGAGAAAGCATCAAGGTTGCAGTTTGAAGCAGAAAATTGTGCTTTCTCGTTTGCCGTTAGAATTCAAATCTTAATGCTTACATAATATAATGGGCGCATATAGATACACATGTCATTATCTTCTTGCGCGTGGGCAAAATTCTGGAGACCTGCGAGGATGAGAATGTATATGAACATATATCATCATTGTCTACATATGTGAAAAATAAGGTCGAATGCACAAGATATAATAAAAACCAACCAATATATAATATAGTATATGTATACAGTAGCTACATATACGCATGCAGTACATTAAGTCTAATTCAGGTTGCGCAAATATGATGCAGTTTTGCGCAAGATCCTGCCTTAACAGAGGTACCAAGAAAGGTTTGACCATGGGAAACGAAAGCGCATATGAGCCAAGGTCGAAATTTATTGTTTACGTCAAGTGCGTCATCAAGTTAGTGAATCCCCTATCGTTTAACAGATTTTCCTGTTTTTACATGTTTTGACAAATTTTTATCTCTGTTTAAGCATAGTTTTGAAGCGCGTCCGCCTTGGCGATCTTTGTTTGCGCGCGTTGGGGCGCACTGCTTTTGCCCGTGCCTGTCTGGTCCTCCTTCGCGCTTTTGGAAAGAAAATGGGTTTTGGCATGCTTTGGCCACTCACAACTGCCAACCTCAAAATTTATCCAGCCGGGGAACGAAACTTTATTCCATCACTACAACATACTACCAGCATCCACCACCTGTTCGGCCTTTTGTGTGACCAGTCGGTCACCCGGGGCGCTTTTGGAAAAATGTTAGTATTGTTTGGGTATCGTTTTGGGGTATCGTTCTGCGTGGGCTCCATCTTTGCAAGACTGAATGAATAGTTCGCCGCGGTGTACCAAAGCTAGGCCAGGCAGCAAAACGAGATACTGCATGGAGTTGGCCACTCCTACACTGCCTGCGAATAGATGCATGGTTTCCGTAATCTGAGCTACTCGGTGCCGAGTTTAAGCAGCCCACCTAGGTGGCTAAAGTATGCTAAAGTAATGAAAACTCATGTAAAGTCAACCCACCGCATGGGCACACCCATTCATGGTGAAGTGGATCCAACCGTGAAAAAACAACCCTGCCTAAGCAAACACTATGCCCACAGCAAAAAACGCGCAAGCATGCGCAATCAAAAAATGCATCGTTTTTTTGCGAGTCCCCTAGCAGGTTTCATGCAATAGCCAACATCTGATGCACACCCCAGTACATACTTAATCAGCGCAAATTTTGACGGAATCTCATATGCCCACAGTAATGCCAGAGGAAATCTTTTATGTGTGTTGGCTCCGGCTGTCACCAAAAATGAAAAGGACATATCGGACAGCAAATGCTCTGACTGACTACGGATGGGCTTCAGAAGATCAACTTGAATGCGTGAAAGATAAGCAAACCAAAAGACATTGTGAGTGTCGTCCAGGGGAATGTTGAAATCTCTGGACAGCTTGCGTGTCTCCATCTCGGCTTCGTCTAGCAAACACCTCTCGTTGAACATCGCTACGAGAGAAAGTCTACCTTAGCAACGGGTGGATACTGCCTTGCTATGCCTTGCCACCAAGGCTACAGTAGCTCCTGCCGACTCCTCATGCAACTTGTGCGACCGAAAGCTCAGCATCAATGTGTTCTGCTTATGTGATAAAATTTTCACGAACCTGACTAGGCTTCTGTAAAATTCCATCTTATTGAGCTACGCCGTTTTTCTATCGCGCTGTCTCATTTCTGAGCTAAGCTGCGCTGCGCTTCTGTAGGTTGTATAGGAAATTTGCTTCCATAAACGGACAGGGGCTGCAAGAGGCGAATATTGCCTTCGCCAAAAGCATTCAAACATAATGTGGGACAAATCGGCACAAAGAAAAACATGGATGAAGTTGCCGGCACAGCTTCACCTCCGGCGGACTTTCCCGAACGCAGTCCCACATCAAAAATATGCATACTGATATCACTTATCAATACTGGATGATATTAAGAACAAAATGGAATTGAGCGAATATTACATGATATTACATAACAAGAAACTGTGTCTAAAAATAAAAATATAAATTTATGATTATATGTAATATATATATATATACATTTATGTAAATGCATATATATATATATGTGTGTGTAAATATGTGTAAATAAATATGTATATATGTACATACACACACGTATATATATATATAGAATGAAATAAATAAATAAATAAATAACTAAATAAATACATAAATAAATAAGTAAATAAATAAATAAATAAAATATAAATCATATGTATATTGTAAAACATATGTATATGATATAAATATGTGTATATAATCGAAGGAAGTTTAGAATGTTTAGCAGTCAAACTTCCGACAATATGGACAGATGAAAAGCAGAGGTGGAGCAGAAGAAGAGAGAAGAGAAGAGCAGAAGAGAGAAGATCAGAGAAGACAAAGAGTCAGAAGAAAGAAGATCCAGGTGCGCGAAAAGATAGGAAAGTCGCGAAACAGTGTGTTTTTCCAATGATTTGTGGCATTTTGTGGCTCCGGAGGCCGCTAAAGCGGCGGGTGCGGAGCCAGCTGGCCAGATGAGAGATGAAACATTGCACACCGTTGCGGCTTTTCTAAGCCAAAATCTACAAAGCACACCAACGTCGGACCACTTTTGGAAGTTGTGATGTCGAAAAAGTGCACGCCGTTGTGGCGCGAAGCACATGTCCAAGTCAAAATGTGAAAAGCACACCATGCTCGGGCCACTTTTGGAAGTTGAGATGTCGAAAAAGTGCACGCCGTTGTGGCGCGAAGCAAATTTCGAAGGCAAAATGTACAAAACACCTCAGCTTCGGACCGCTTTTGGAAGTTGAGATGTCAAAGAAGTGCGCGCGGTTATGGCGCGAAGCGCGTTTCGAAGTCAACATGTACAAAACACACCATGCTCGGACCACTTTTGAAAGTTGCGATGTCGAAAAAGTGCACGCTGTTGTGGCGCGAAGCACATTTCGAAGTCCAAAAAAATCCTCTCAAGTTGCTTCAAACCCCCTTAGGGACCATTTTAGAACCCAAAAATGGTTTCTAAAATGGAATCTACAAGGGGGGGTCTTAGAACCCAAAAAATTTGGCAGCTATTCCGTTTTTGGGTTTTAAAATGGGTTCTAAAATGGTATCTTCCACCCTTAAAGAAAACATTAAAAAAACATAAAAAACATTTAAACAAATCCTTTTTGAAACCATCGCATTTCAGGAAAAAATGATGAGGAAATCTGCGCCCCCAAAAAATAGATCAACATGAGGCAAATAAAAAAACACTGCAAAGAGCACTCCATGATACTCCACAACATTTTTCAGTGGGTGGCAGCCACAGATGGTCGGATCATTTACTACCTATCGAGCCAGGTTTTTGCCCGCTCTCTTTGCTTCCTTTCTTTGCCAAACCAGTAAAGTACACCCGAACCCTAATGCTTTCAGAATGTCCCCTAAGTCACCCCTTTTCAAACGAATTTAGTTTTGGACTCATTCCATTTCCCGTGCGACTGTTTGTTCAATTTCATGCAGACATGTCCAACCAGATAAATTTTCAATAAAACAGCAAACTCCTACATGCAGTTTCTTCAAAACAATAGTGTTTTTGCGTCAAAGGAGAAAAACAAGGAACAAATCATCACATGCGAAAATGCAAGCAGCTGTGTGTCGAACTACAGTTGCCGCAGCTGTCATTAAAAAAATGGTAAGTTTGCCTACCTTCATCAGGACACCACTGACTGGACACTTGTTCTTTTGTGATATTTGGGGGGGCTGGGCAGCTATGGCACAAAGATGTCAGCCTAGACAATGCACCTTGAGGATTTATCTTTGGGAAGGGTTCTGGAATGGTTTCCTGCTTGGCCAAACGTGAAATACCAGCTACTGCAAGGGGAAACCATTTTAGACCATTTGCATGCTTAGGTGCCTTTCATTTGTTTATTCGTTGCACAGGCAGTGGTCTACTTGTAGAAGAACAAAAGATTGCAGAAATAATAGTTTTTAGCTGACTTGACTATCCCTGAAATTCATTGGCATTGGGTTGTACCTGCCTACCTACCCCTGTAGGTATTTATCTTTGGGAAGGGTTCTGGAATGGTTTCCTGCTTGGCCAAACGTGTGAAATACCAGCTACTGCAAGGGGAAACCATTTTAGACCATTTGCATGCTTAGGTACCTTTCATTTGTTTATTCGTTGCACAGGCACTGGTCTACTTGTAGAAGAACAAAAGATTGCAGACATAATAGTTTTTAGCTGACTTGACTATCCCTGAAATTCATTGGCATTGGGTTGTACCTGCCTACCTAGCCCTGGAGGTATTTATCTTTGGGAAGGGTTCTGGAATGGTTTCCTGCTTGGCCAAACATGTGAGGTACCATTATTGCAAGGGGAAACCATTTTAGAACTGTTGTATGCTTAGATAGCTTAGATATGCTCATTTGTTGCACAGGCACTGGTCTACTTGTAGAAGAACAAAAGATGGCAGAAACAGTTTTTAGCTGACTTGATGATCACTGAATTTCATTGGCATTGGGTTGTACCTGCCTACCTAGCCCTGGAGGTATTTATCTTTGGGAAGGGTTCTGGAATGGTTTCCTGCTTGGCCAAACATGTGAGGTACCATTATTGCAAGGGGAAACCATTTTAGAATTGTTGTATGCTGGGGGTTTTTATGGTGGATCAAAAGCCAATGTCGGTCACTACAAAATGACTTTGCGTACCCATTTTGTAGTGAAAACGGGTTGCAGTGAAAATCATGATTCTCTACTAAATGGTTTCTGGAAATTTCACTCTAAATCTTTGGTTCCCTTTCTGGGGCCCAGGTCATAGTATTTGCCGAGCACAAGTAAATACAACCTTGGGATTTCCATCGGATTCCAAGAATTGACCTTTCAAAAAAGGTTTGACAAAAGCACGGCGCAGAGGTTTTGAACTGCAATCGTCAAGAGCTATGGGGCAACAAAAACGATCTAAGCGCACAACTTCTGATTGGTTTTGAACCAAATCTGTCCCATTTTTCCTTCTTAAAGTCTCTACATAAAAAGCATGCTTTTCGAACTTTGTGTGGCTTATCTGGAGGGGGGCGCAGTATGTTCTACAAAAGGTTGTGCACGCGTGTGTCACTACTAAATGCAGTGCATGACAAAAGTCATCCAGAAACTAGGACATCACGCATCGAATCTGTGCTTTGTGACATTGTGGGTGGAAGGAACTCTGAGCATGGATTTGTTGAACTTGGGTGAAACTTGACTATTGGACAAAAAGAGCAGGAACCTAGTAGAATGGGATAGATTTAGATTTTAATTAATAATCGCATGTGATTGCCAAAAAAGGTGTGACAAAAGCACGGCGCAGAGGTTTTGAACTGCAATCGTCAAAGCTATGGGGCGGTAAAAACGATCTGAGCGCACAACTTCAGTTTCAATTGGCTGGTTTTGAAACCAAATCTGTCACATTTTTCCTTCTTAAAGTCTTTACATAAAAAGCATGCTTTTCGAACTTTTTGGGGCCTATCTGGAGGGGGCGCAGTATGTTCTACAAAAGGTTGTGCACGCGTGTGTCACTACAAAATGCAGTGCATGACACAAGTCATCCAGAAACTAGGACATCACGCATCGAACCTGTGCTTTGTGACATTGTGGGTGGAAGGAACTCTGAGCATGGATTCGTTGAACTTGGGTGAAACTTGACTATTGGACAAAAAGAGCAGGAACCCAGTAGAATGGGATAGATTTAGATTTTAATTAATAATCGCATGTGATTGCCAAAAAAGGTGTGACAAAAGCACGGCGCAGAGATTTTGAACTGCAATCGTCAAGAGCTATGGGGCAACAAAAACGATCTAAGCGCACAACTTCTGATTGGTTTTGAACCAAAGCTGTCCCATTTTTCCTTCTTAAAGTCTCTACATAAACAGCATGCTTTTCGAACTTTGTGGGGCTTATCTGGAGGGGGGCGCAGTATGTTCTACAAAAGGTTGTGCACGTGTGTGTCACTACAAAATGCAGTGCATGACACAAGTCATCCAGAAACTAGGACATCACGCATCGAACCTGTGCTTTGTGACATTGTGGGTGAAAGGAACTCTGAGCATGGATTCGTTGAACTTGGGTGAAGCTTGACTATTGGACGAAAAGAGCAGGAACCCAGTAGAATGGGATAGATTTAGATTTTAATTAATAATCGCATGTGATTGCCAAAAAAGGTGTGACAAAAGCACGGCGCAGAGATTTTGAACTGCAATCGTCAAGAGCTATGGGGCAACAAAAACGATCTAAGCGCACAACTTCTGATTGGTTTTGAACCAAATCTGTCCCATTTTTCCTTCTTAAAGTCTCTACATAAACAGCATGCTTTTCGAACTTTGTGGGGCTTATCTGGAGGGGGGCGCAGTATGTTCTACAAAAGGTTGTGCACGCGTGTGTCTCTACAAAATGCAGTGCATGACAAAAGTCATCCAGAAACTAGGACATCACGCATCGAATCTGTGCTTTGTGACATTGTGGGTGAAAGGAACTCTGAGCATGGATTCTTTGAACTTAGGTGAAACTTGACTATTGGACAAAGGGAGCAGGAATCTAGCAGCATGGGATAGATTTAGATTAATTATGATTGGTAATCGCATATAATCGCCAAAGTAGATGTGACAAGAGCACCGCACAGAGATTTTGAACTGCAATCGTCAGAGCTATGGGGCAGCAAAATGGATCTGAGCGCACAACTTCAAATTCAATTGATGGGTTTTGAAACCAAGTCTGTCCCATTTTCCGTCTTAAAGTATCTGCATTATTTGTTTTTATTTTCGATTTTTTGGTGGCTCATCTTACC